AACAAAAAAACCCACAACCTTGCCATAACTGGTTTGGCTCATTGGATAGAGTGTCGGCCTGCAGATTCAAGGGTCCCAGGTTTGATTCCAGTCAAGAGCTTGTACCTTGGTTGCAGGCACATTCCCAGTAGGGGGTGTGCAGGAGGTAGCTGATTGATGTTTCTCTTTCATCGATATTTCTAACTCTCTCTCTCTCTCTCTCTTCCTTCCTCTCTCTCTGTAAATAAATCAATAAAGTATACTAAAGAAAACCAAAACAAAACAAAAAAAACACAACCTGGATAGTCATATGTTTACCTGGTTAACTACTTAGATAGCAAAAGCATTGATTTTGATAATGACACTAAGAGGGTTAGGATTTTTGCTCAGCTCAGGTGTTGCTGTAAAAGGATAGAATCAAAAACCTTGCTTTCTGAACAGAATTCTAAGGATTTAAATATTCCTTTCCAACTTTGGTGATGGGCTTTTACAGAACATACACCTGCCAATTTGGGGGACATAACCTCTAAAATTAGGCCTCAGGTCTTACTAGTTTTCAGGGGAAAAATGACCAAAAATAAAGTATTCTGGAGCTTCCTTGCACAGCCTTGTTGTGGTTTGTATTTACTCTTTCGCTGTAAACTTATGCTTTATTAAAAATCATTATTTAGCCATGCAGAGCAACAAATCATGCCATGATTCAATGAGGGCATCCAGAATTTTTTACAATGCTGTAATGAGATAACCAATTTGAAATTGAGTCACAGTGAAAGCTGACCTTTCTCCTTCAGATGAAGTAACGCTGCCCAGGTGAAGAACAGAAGATTTATGACTCATGTGAACCTAAATAAAATTTTAAAAGATGAAACCATGCTCCTTCTTGGGAACTCTCATCTTTTCTCCTTGTCAGCACAGCTTTGACAAAATATCCGACGTATTGCAACACAGGAATTTCAATTGTGAATCCGTCTGAGATTCCACCGTGGCATGCTGCTATGCAGAGCAGATACTGGGTGCAATCCATCATCTATTAAAATTCTGTCAGTGTAAGGGTATCGTACAGAATCCTGCTCGGAGAAGCAGGGACAAATAGCTGATGGCATTGACAAAGTCAGCATTTTTAGTTCCTCGCAGCAAAAAGCAAATTCCTAATTGCCTCTAACAGTGGTCTCTCCTCAGTGTCTGCTCAGGTGAAATTCAACAAAGTGCAAACAGAAACACTCTTGCTGCCCTAAGTGGGGTCTGACATCTTTCCACGGGACCTGATCAGAGGCCGGTAACTGACAGAGAACTTGTTTTCTTGCACCAACACAGTGTGATAGTTGTAATGCAGGCAGGGAGACATCCCCTCTTTCACAAACGTAAAAAACCTCTCAGCATCTTATTTCTAAAAGAACATCGCATGTAACTTAGAAAATTCAATCTCCAAAGAAGGAAACGTAAATGGCAAGCTTCAGTTCTATGCTACGCTTTCTATTCTCCTCCCATCCCTGTACTACCTACCCATCTCCTTCTTCACATCATTATATTTCTACTCCTTTTTGGCCCTGACAAAGACCAGAGGCACAGTGCTCTGCTTTAAAACTTTCCGCAACACAGAAACCCAGTTAAGATCTCAGAGTCCCTGGAGTCCAGACTAAACAAGAACATGCAAGACTCCGGGCTCCAATGAGGAAGTCACATTCTTAGTGATGGTGGGAAAATATGCATGTAACACTTAGAGCTTACACATGAGATTTTCTCAAAATGGTGGAAGAGAAAATGCAAGAGAACAGAAAAGCTAGAAGTGAATCTGAATGAGGGCAACATATTTGAGAGCTGTTGATATTGATCCTTTGAATTTATTGGTAGATTCCAAGAGGTACTCAATGGGCCTTTTTGGAAAAAAAAAAAAAATCATTACCTGAGGATATGTATTTTCCATTGATCTTTAGGAAGAGGGAGTGGAAGGAAGGGAAGGAGAGAGAAACATCAATGCAAGAGAGATACATTGACTGGTTGCACACACCCAACTGGGGTGGGGATTGGACCTGCAACCGCTCTTGATTTGGAATTGAATCCAAGACCTTTGGTCCAAGGACTGATGCTCTAACTACTAAGAAACTGGCCAGGGCTTAATGGGCCTTTTTTATTTTATTTTTATTGATTTTAGAGAGAAAGGGAGAGAAAGAAAGAGATAAAGACATCAATGATGAGAGAGAACCATTGATTGACTTTCTCCTGCACACCCTTATGGGGATTGAGCCCGCAACCCAGGCATGTGCCCTTGACCAGAATCAAACCCAGGACCCTTCAGTCAACAGGCCGACACTCTGTCCACTGAGCTAAACCAGCTAGGGCCAGGGCCTTTTTTTTTTTTTTTTTTTTAAGTGTCAGGTGTTGAATGGTTCAATAAGTTAATGAAGTTCCAATCTAAACAATCTGTCTTCTGTATAACCACAGTGGTTGTTTCCACCAAACTCATTAATAAATACCTAGTATGAATGTGGTAGAAATAGGTGATCATCATTTATTCTTCATTTTATTTCTAAACATACTCATTTTGTTTAATTGGGCTAATCTAAGGCATAATGTGCTGTCTATTCAAATAAAAAAAATAGATTGTTAGATTCAGGTGTTTTGTTTCATTGCCTTAGGTTGCTTAAGCACTTTTGTGCTTTGGTATCATAGAGTGATTAACTTAACACTCACTTTGATGATGAAGCTAGACCAGTTGGATGATTTATACAAACTAGACAACCAGGAAGACTGTTGCTGGGCAAATATTGTGGTATAAACTCTGTGTTTCCATGACAATTTTCAGTCCATTTTTCCATGTTAAAGACAACAAAGTCGTGGGTGGCCCAGCCACTCCTTTTTCTAGGAATCTGCCCCAGCCACAGACATTACATTTAAAACCAAGTACGACCTAAGCTCAAACATGATGCACAGTCTGGTCATGGGGAGTGATAAGATATCACTGATCCATAGTAAGACAGATTCAAGGGGGTGAATGAACGAACATGAACGAACACACACACACACACACACACACACACACACACACACACCCTAATTGCAAGAGTAAAATGTATAAGAAATAATGCATTCAAAAAGGCGGCTGGAGCTGTGCTGGGGTGAGGAGATGATAATGAAAAATTTCTAAAATCCTGAGTGATACTTGGAATAGACACATACAAACATCTTCTCTTCTCCTCACAGCTCTAGAAATACTGTAAAGTCTCACATACTTTGACATCTGGCAAAATATTCAGATTTTCTTGCCAGATGTGCATTCCTCTTGGCCACAATGAGATGATACTTAACCTCGGTGTGAGGACTAAGCTAGCATTAGTGCTCTATAGATGAACACACTATATTTTTTTTTTAGAAGGTAGTTGTTTCCTTCTCAAAAGTCTACTCTTTGGAACTTGGCAGGACATCTTCTCTTTTCCTGTGTTGGCTCAGTCTGTGCTATACATTGGTTTGGCAGCATATATTGAATTCTACCTCATGACTTGGACAGAAAAGTGTAACTTGGATTCATTGTATGTTGGTATGATTTATAGAACTTAGGCCAGATGAACTCAGGAAGCCCTCAAGGTGTGGAAATCAGAGCAAAGAGAAGGATTTGCAAAATATGATCTAAAAGTTCTGCTGTTGTAGGCTACATATATTTTATCTTTAAATAAAAATTAAAAAAAAAACCAAACTATCAAAACATTAGGAGCATCATGGAATGTTCTTAGTTTTAAAAAGTGGAGGAAGTTCAAGTATGAAAACCAGGTGCTGTGATTCTTTGAGTCCAGGAAATGGATGCCTGTGCATTTAGCTTCCTGGCCCTTAATATGTGCTACCTTAGTCATATTCAATTTTTAAAAGAGTTAAAAATAGCATTGCTTCTTCGTTGTACAACATATAGATCTAATAATCATAAGGATAATGGTAATACTAATGTATACTATGTCATACTTAAACATTTTTTTTTCACATGTGCTCTTATTTTATTCTTTCCCACATCCTTGCCAAGTACAGTGACAGGCAAGGAAACAAAGGCATAAATGTGGGCATACCCAGAAGAGTATGCCAGAGACCATGCCACACAGCTCTCAGTCTCAGGCTCCTCCCCTACCTCATCTTCTCATGAGTGTATTGCTATGAAAATCTATCTTGCACTTCTATAGAGCTAGAAAACAGGGAAGAACTAGACAAAGACAAATGAAAACATTAGCCTTCAGTTTAATAGATTCTAATGGAATATGTAATATTTTTGGGACTGATGTAGTATTGTTCCACAAAATGGAAATTTCTAGCAAGTAGAAAATAGAGTTTGAATATTTTTGGAAGATTCTTCCCACAAAAGAAGAAGAGAAGGCTTCTAGTTAGTTAACGTAAAAATTACCTAGCAACATTGCTATCTATATATTTCCATATATTAATAGATAACTAACTTCCTATGTTAAATATATTGCTTTGAGTTAACACTTGGCCGTGATACTGAAACTCACTCCAAAGCACACCAAATTGCATTTGCAGAAAACAAAGCATTACAGAAGGAGGAGAAGAAAAACAGGCTTTTCTCCAATAATGGATTTACTTGTTTAGAGCTCAGAGTTCCTGCATGAAGTAGAAATTGGCTATTCATAACAAATAGTAGACATCAATTTTTTTATAGAGTTTTATTGAAATACAGACACACATATTCAGGTATGTGTTGTCTATAACAGCAGAGTTAAGTACTTGTGCAAAAGACCGTAAACATCAGTTTTTGAGACTATTATGACTGATACTTCCTTCAAGCAAGTTTATCTCTCTCTATCTCTATCTCTATCTCTATCTCTATCTCTATCTCTATCTCTATCTATCTCTAGCTATTGTATATGCTTTTGTAGAATTTCAGGAACAGCTTTTATCTGGAAAATATGGCTGCCTGAAAGAGGTATAAAATATAACAAAAGCTTTACCCCAAAGCTTGTATGCATTACAAAAGCTTACACTTGGATAATAAAAATATTTAGCCTCAGGTGACTGAGAACACTTACTGTTGGTTGCATAACGTATGGCGGATGAGGCATCCATGAAGTACTCTGGACCTATGCATCAAACAGCATTTATTAGCACAAAGCAATCACAGAGAGAACTTGGTTCTTGCGTTCACTGGAGTCGCACTAGATCATAAAAAAGTGGAGTCCATCTGATTTTTACAGCTAATTAGTGCTCAAAACTAAGGACAGAAAGCACATTCTTGGACCTGATTCCTTTGGTCCCTGATATACATGATAAAATGTAAAGAAAATTCCTGCTTCATTGGAGCTGGCTGCAGAGCCCATATGGACCAGGCTGGGACCTGGAGCATATTTTGAGGATGGTGTTAGAGACTAAAGTATCAGGCAGCCTCCGGCACCTCCTATTTAGAGGTCAACTCCCAGGGATACCAAGGCAAATACTAAGAAACAAGTGTTTATGCTAAGACTTCCTTTTTTTTTTTTTTTTTTTTCCTTCTGTCATTTGTTTGAACTTCAAATTCTCAAGTGATTCTCATCTTAGAAATAAGTCCAAGTGGTAAAAGTTGGGGTAAGAGGTAAATAGATAAACCGAAAATTGGGGAAAATGCTCTGGGATAAACCCAAGTTAAGTAAGTTTGTAATTTTTTTTCTTTCATAGTAACTGGTGTGTAAATAAAAATGAGTATTTGAGCCAACTGTTCTGAAATGGGCCTTGTCAGCCAAATGCGAACGTCAACTTGAAGAGCTGTTTGTCACATAAAGAACCTTAAAGATTTTGTTTTCAGTATATTCATACAAGCAAAATTGCCAATGCCATTTAGACTTAAAAAAAAAAAGGACAAAGTGTTGAAAGGCAAGAATCAACAACATAGGAAATTTCTCTAATTCCTTTTATGAGAAAAGAGAGCTGGGGTTAAATTCCACTTAGGAGCCCTCCCAAGTAAAGTCACTTTTCTGTGGATGTTTTATTCATGTCACCAAAGTGCTCCATACTGGGGCTCAATGGGTGGTCTTGGCTGAAACAGAGGCCAAGATTAAGGGGGTAGGGGGGGAGGTTAAAGAAAAAAAAGCCCCAAATACATATTACAACCAGGCAGGCCTGTGTGAGGAACAAAAAAGGGAACAGCACCTGCACAGAGTTTCATCAGGGGTCCCAGGGAAAGGCAATTAGGAAATCAGTCATTCAGAGACCCGCGGATGCAATCCACACAAAAGTCTATTCTGTTCGCCCACCAACATGTATGAAGAATCTACGTGCAGGAAATGAATGAAAATGAACTGCTTCAGGGGTGATCCGCTCAGAAAAAATGTGAATAGTCTCAAGTTTGATGCTCTGACAGCTGGGGCATCCCGAGATGAAGTATGTAGTGGCTGAATAAGGTGACGCTTAACTGAATTAGTAGCAGTCAGCAGCATCAGAGTGTTACCCATTATAAAGCCCCTACCCCCATCCCCACCATCTGCACAATATAGAGAAACACATGGTGTGCGTGCTCTTGCTCTCGCGTGCGCTCGCGCTCGCTCTCTCTCTCTCTCTCTCTCTCTCTCTCTCTCTCTCTCGCTCTCTCTCTCGCTCTCTCTCTTTCTCTCTCTTTTTCTCTCTCTCGCTCTCACTCTTGTTCTTTTCTCTTTCTCCAGAGTTTAGAAAAAAATGACACTAGAAACTATGTAACATGGACAGCGATTTCTTCTTAGAATCAGAAGAATTGTCTGAGGAACACTATGAGGGAAAGAGAAGCAGAGAGTGATATCACATCGTGAATAACTCAAAAGAAGTAAGATAAGAAGTCATTTTTAAGGGAGAAGTATGACTATTTCAATCCACCTGTGTACACAGAGTTAACTGGCTACAACATCTGGTTTAGGACACACACTGGTTCTTGGGTTTTCTTGTGTTTATGTGAAACCCCTGAGGTCCCCTTTGGCTCTTTAGGAACTGAGAATGAAGTCAGAACAGACAGGAGGAATCACTCTTTACCACTTTGATCATCTTTTCTATTTCCTGGGGGAAATGACTGAACATCAGTCCATGTAGTTTTACATGGATGCACAGGACAACTGTGACAAAGTGAGATGACAATGGTAAAACGTGCCGGAGGAGGGCAGGGGATGCGAGAAATGTGCTCTCAGAAAAAAACACTCTAGGAAGCGTGACAACCAAAACAACAGACAGCAAACAAAATCATTTCTCAGTGGTGAGAAAGACAGCGGTACTAAAGTTGTCTGGGCAGTAGCATAATCATGAAAACTCAGCAGGTGTTTTCTCAGAAGAATGAAAAGCAAGGTGGGTTTCATCATTCAGTGAAATAGATGCGAACAAGCCCTCAAAAGGGTAGACTAATTGGTGACTTGAGTACTACCACGTCAGGACATGAGTCAAGTGTGCAAGGGCAATCTTTAAAAGCTCTACTGTGTCTTGGCCTCTATGGCAATTACTACTGTCAAGAGAGATCTCTCCTGAGGGGCGGGGGAATCGGACATACCTGGTATGTGGAGACAGGGGAAGCAGCAATGAATGGCGTGATAGATGTCTGTGGAATCATGCGGTTGGTTGCAATACTGTACGGTGAAGAATAAAATCTGCAAACAGAAAACAACAACAAAAGAAGAAGATTCATACAGCTGCCGAATGCCTGGCTGCTCAGCAAATGCTACCAAGCACTTCTGGGGAAGACAGAGATTTCCACCCTCACGTTTGCCCACCAACTCTGAACAGGAGCATCCAGGAGGTTTGTTGTATTGGACTCCACTAAGAGAAGTTAAGTCCTTCTGAACAGACAGGACAACTTGGAGTCATCTCATAAAATCGGCCACACACAATCTCTTATGCCAGGCAAGTGTGACTGTGTTTTAACCAACAGGGGGGGAAAAGCATTAGGCACTGTTTTGTTTTGGAAAGGCAATGCCATTTTAAAGCTCTTTGGAAAGAAAGGCAAAATGATAGTACCAAGCTTTCTAAAGGAGGCTAGTATTCCTTAAACACAAATTGCATCTATACCTTTTCACTAAAGAAACAGAATCAGCTCCAAGAGTTTTGGATAAGTTGTGTGAGGTATGTGATCATATCCTCATGCAAAAAACTAAGCTAAATACTTTCTCTGTGAGAAGAGAAGTGGACAATTTGTGTCTAGGTAGAGATTCAGTCATGGTGTTGGTGGAGATTCTGGATGTATGTGATATACTCCTGTAGACTCTGTAAAAAGCATTGCTTTTTATAGTCCTTGATGCCCCTTCATTGAACAATGTAGAATGAATGATATTAGCAAATCAGGATTTCACAGATCAGAGGAAGATTATCCTTCCAGGGATCTACTGAAGAACAGATTCTAGATCTGAGATCAGTGACATACCCAACTTTGCTCAAATGTCGCCCTAGAGTCCACAAGGTACCCAATGCTCAAATTCCTCAGCCAGATTTAAAATCATGTTTCCTCCTTCTTCTCTCCCTGGTAAGTGAAATGCTGGCATGGCCAGACCAAGAATAGACAAAACCAGGTTGCCTATGATGGAGTATTTCACTGATGGGAAGATATATTGAGAAAATGTGTACCAGCATCAGGGATAATGAAATCAGTGTTTTACTTTGCCATACTGTTAGTAAAAGTCAACTACTATCAACTACTACTTTAAAATTTTTAAAAAAGCATGACTGAGATTGGGCTTTTGGGGAAAAAAGCTACATCAGACCTCAGGAGTCCCCATGACAAAAATCTCATGAGTTACCTTTCTAAAGATGCATTCCACAAGACCTCACATTGAATATAGAAAAGCTAGAATTCAAGTTTACCATTTAAGGAATACATTCTTTGAGCATATAGTCTATAAAAGTCTCCAAGCAAGTATTATGGAACTATACTGTCAAACTTACTTTACTAGTTCACAATAAGGATTATAGCATCATATTATTTTGGTTAAAATATAACTAACAATTATTCTTTACACATCCTTTCTATTCATACCCACCAACTACAAACTGTAAATTTGTAGTTGTACAGTTTGAAAAAAATCCTATTGACTACATACTGATTAGAATGGATAATTTTTAATAAAATGACAATGCTAGTGGTAGCAAAAAATCAGAGAAGGTGTAATTCCTTGCTGGTGGAAATGGTACAGCCATTGTGAAAAACAGGTTGGAAGTTTCTTATAAGTTAAACATGCACATCACATATAACCCAATAACCCCACTGGTAGATATTAACTAAAGATAAATGGAAACATATGTCTGCACAAAATCCTTAATGCAAATGTTTACAGCAGGTTTACTGATACTTTCCCAAGGCTGGAAACAAGCCAAATATCCTTTAACTGAGACAATAAACAAACTGGTACATCTGTATATTGGACAGCTATTCAGCAATAAAAAGTAAAGAGCTACTGATTCATTTAATAGGATGAATCTTGAGTGAATTATGCTAAATGAAAGAAGTCAGACTCAAATGACTTGATATTTTATAATTCCATTTTTATCATACTATAGAAAATGCATAACTGTAAAGGCAGAAAATAGATCAGTGGATGCCAAAGGCTGGGGTTGACGACAGTGACACATGAGGGAGTTTGGGGAAGTGATGTAATTCTTCTATATCTTGGTTGTTTGGTGCATGAATGACTATGTGTTTGCCAGAACTCATTGAATTGTACACTACAAAGAATGAATACATATTCTATGTAAATAACACCTAATAAATCTGATGTTTAAAAGAAGTCAATTACTATGTAAGAAAACATCCACACTTCCATGTTTAAAACATTTTATTGAGCATATACCATGTGTAACAAAGATGGGGAAGACTTTAAAACATTCCTTATAATTTCTCTATTTAGATATCTAAATCGAATCTTATCTGTACATGAATCATTCTAAAACCCTCCAATTGCTTTCCATTGCAATGAGAATAAAAATTTAATCCCTAGTATTAGCTAGCACAGTGGTCGGCAAGCTGTGGCTCGCAAGCCACCTGCGGCAAGCCACCTGCGGCTCTTTGGCCCCATGAGTGTGGCTCTTCCACAAAATACCAAGGCCTGGGCGAGTCTATTTTGAATAAATGGCATTAGAAGAAATTTAAGTTTAAAAAATTTGGCTCTCAAAAGAAATTTCAATCATTCTACTGTTGATATTTGGCTCTGTTGCCTAATGAGTTTGCCGACCACTGCACTAGCACAATGCATCTACCTCCCTCTCTAATATTTTCTCTTACTCCTCTCCCCTTAGCCAATTAGGATCCAACTGTACAAACCTTTTTGTCTCATGGTCCTGTCATTCTCACTCCCATCATCACTGACTTTACAATTCTCTCTACCTAGAATGTTCACTTCCCTAAGTCTCCCTTACCTCTTACTCATTATGGGTATCACTCAACTGTCACTTCTTCAGAGAGGCCTGAGCTAAAGTAGTAACCACCATCTCTGTCCCCATTGTTCTCTATTCCTTTCCTCTTACTGATTTTTTTCATTGCTCTTATCACTATCTGAACTAGTAATTAAAAACCAATTAGATGTATCTTATGGGCTGAATGTGAGTGTCCCTCCACAATTCATATTGACATCCTAACACCCAGCGTGGTTATATTTGGAGATGGAGCCTCTGAGGAAGCAATTAAGGTTAAATGAGCTCAAGAGTGGGGTCCTGATCTGAAAGGATTAGTGTCCTTATAAGAAAAGATACTACAGAGTTCTTGTTCTCTCTCTCTCCCTCTCCCCCCCCCCCTCTCTCTCTCCCCCCTCCCTCATCCCCCCCTTGGTCTCTGTCTGTCTCTCTCCACAATATAGATGGAGGAAATGCCGCGTGAAGGCACAGTGAGAAGGCCAGGAATAGAGTCCTCATCAGAAATGAAATCTGCCAGACCTTGATCTTGGACTTCTCCTAAACCTGTAGGAAACAGGAATAGAACCCTGAGAAGATAGAGACCATCATCACATATTTATAAATGCTTCCTGGAGACTTAACTAATGCATGCTTTCAGCATGCATTGGGTCTTAGTAACTAGGGAAAATAGTCCTTTTCCAACAAAAATCATAGTTTGCCTTTAAAAATCTCCTTTAGCTCTTATCTTTAACAAGTCTTACTTATGAGGCAGTGAACAGAAGTATGTATTTTGGTCTCATAATGACATGAGAGGCGCCCCACATGGTGATTAACTTCTATTAAAAACAGTTTCTGCCTTTTACACCAATGGAGCACACTGTGCATCGCATTTTAGTGTGGCTGGTTTATTTTGTAAAACGTATTGACTGGAGTATTAAAAGGGAAAGCAATAAGGATTGGATTGACAGGCAGAGTTTACAGAAATTCTATGGGGAAAACAGAGGGCAGACACATAAAGAAACCAGCCAACGAAATCAATACTAACAAAGGGAACCCTTGGGTGGGGAGGGGGTCAATTGAATGCATTTTTATTCTAGATATCTGCTCTACCATCCAGCAAGAATGATATTTCATACTTTCTCACAAGTTCCAATACTGCTGCTGAAGGCAGAGAGGATATCTTCCCAGACAATATCCTGGGAAGAAGGAATCAGCACACCGTCTTGATCCCCTAATCCTGGTATTCTGGTAGAAGTGCTTCCCAAGTCCAGACATAAACCAGATGAATGTACAAGAAACCCTTGCCTACACCATCACAGGAGAGGCTGTGACTGCATCGAAGGCTTAGCGATACGGCAGCTAAAAGAAAACACACAGGACCAGGCTCCACAAAGAAAACGGCAGCATGAGTTTCTCAACCTCCTCAGTCTTCTCTCTCGGTCTCTGGCATGTACCTGTCATGATTTAAAATGACTTTCCCATAACCAGCACATAAGAAAAAAAATCCAAATAAAACTTCAAGCATAACTGTTCTGTTCCTGGGGAACAGGAAAGAGAAACCCAACAGAACCTGTTAGCCATAACAACAAAACGAAGGTCATTCTAACCATGTGACTTTATGCTCTTTGTATCTGCTACATAGGCACTCTGCTCTGCGAAGGCTGTAGCAGAGAATACTGGGAATGGATTCTTTCACAAACTGTTTTCCTGGGAACACAGTTGACTCTCTTACGAGATATTTCTTGGCCACAATTCACATAGCATTTTGTGTGTGACAAGCATTCCTTTTATACTGTGCCCAGTGGTTCCAATTTGGAAGTGATTTTGCTCCCCAGGGGACGCTTGGCAGGGTCTGGAGACATTTTTGGTTGTCACAACTAGGATGGGAGGGGGAGGCTGCTACCTAATATGTAGAGGTCTGCAGGGCTGCTAACCATCTGACCAGGCACAGGGCAGCTCCCACACTCCCACTTATCTGATCACAACATCAATCGTGCTGAGGCTGAGAAACCCTACTTTTTTTTTATTCCTAAACTCTAGGTATAAAAACGAGTTACTTCCAGAGAGGTTTCACATGAACAAAATACCAGATGCCAAGTTGGCTCAAAGAAGGTAACTAAGTGCGACCTGTCTGTCTATGGAACTCTAAGCTGGGGCATTCATTAAAAAAATGGAATATTTTTAAAGGAATGCAAAGTGTTACTCGGTTCCCTGGCATTGAAGGCAAGGGGCCTCTACAAGTCCAGGAAACGCAAGTCTAGGTCACTAACAGGACATTATCCTGTCTGCAGAAAAGTAATCTTCAGGGGATTTGGCAGTCAGTAGGAATATGGGGAAATCTCAGTGCACTGACAATAAAAGTAACATGAATATATCGATAACTCCAGGGTAGAATGTCTTTTATAGTAGAAAAATCACACCAAATCCTATTTGCGCACTGAAATAAACAGCACCAGCTTGTCTTTTTCTGTCTGCGGGCAACACTGTTAGTCAGAACCACGAATACTGTCCTCAGGGTAATACTGTAGCATAAGATTAATAAGTTATTGGTCATTTTTACTGTAATGCCAATGTACCCTTCACATTTGATTTCTGTGCTAGTGTAATAAGACAAGGTTTCTGCATCACTTAATATCAAATGCCCATATAAAATAGCCGGCAAACCAATGCTATAGAACACATTATTTCCCACATCTCTCCCAAGAATGCATTTTATTCAAGACAGACGATCCAAGAGCCTTCTACACAGCGTCCTGTGCCCTAATAAAAAAGGCACTGGGAAGATGAGATTTTGAAAAGAGGGATGGATAATTTCCCACCACCCACACTCATATTTTAAAGTGATAGAATTTGATATGGGACTGCTAAAAAAGCAAGAGGGCAACAGTAATAACAAATTATGGAGTTACACTGTATAGCTTTGAAAAAGCAGGGACTTTTTATTATTATTATTCTCATACGTTCACCTCTGAAAAAAACATACTATAATTTTACTTTTCCACTGTGACCCAGACACTTCTTCACTATAACTCTCAAAGCCTTAGATAGAAGGGACACTAAACTTTTTTAAAATATTAAATAATATTTTGGATAGATCCAAGCAGATGACAAAACTGACATTTTCTGTTGCCCAAATGTAAATAGCACAGATTTACCATGGTCCACATTTACTACTGTATGTTTTTTATTGGCTAAAAATATCAAGCTAAATATGGGAATATTTATTTCAGATTTATATTGCTTATTAATGTGGGGAATTCAGAACATTTAACTCTTCAGACAATTTGTGTAGCTACTAGCAATAACCCAGACATGCATTTGCTTATGATACTCAGAAAACCCTATGGCTGAGTGTATAGCTACAGGATACCATGGAGTCATCAAATAGGTGCTCTAGCTATGACATGGGCATCTACAAGAGAAAAAGACAGTGCTATGTCTCATGAAGAAGCTTTATAATCCCTTGTTAGAATGGCTATTCTTTGTGGTCTTATAGCCTTAATTATTTTTCTTTTTGAGAACAATATAAAAACACAAACAGTGAAAATTAAGTCCCTATCACTCCTATTTCCACTGGCTTTCTCCAGAGAACTGCTCTAATCATTTACTGTGACCCTTTCAGAAGTATTTTATACATATGAAATTAATCTATATCTATATCTCATACTACTCCATGATTCCATCAAATAACATTTCCATTATATCTTGCACTATAATTGTCTACATGTCCATTGTCCTTGATATGATGCAAATTTTTTTATCCAAATATGTGTCATCAAAATGATTTTTAAAAGAGCAACAGATAGATATTCTAAAGAAAAAAAGTTTGTTGAACTAAACTGAATCAGCATGAAGAAGTGTTTAATAATATTAACTGGGTAAGAATGAGCTGCAACTTTATAGTTGAATACCATTTGTTCTACGTAAAATGGGACCAGTTTCATTCCTACAGTAATAAATATTTCTATTTCTGTTAGGCTACTGCTCTGTGAGGAAGGTTTAAATGCTAGGTGGAATACAGCAATATGAATAGGGAAAAAAATACTTTATTCTGAATTCATACTAGATTCCTCAATAAACTAACTTATCTAAATCAGATTCTATACCTCTAAAAGGCGCGCACTAATGTTAACTCAAGGGACAGTACATTAAGGATATATGTGGTTATTTTGACATCTTACATGCATAGAAATGATTGTTCTACTAGTTTCTTTTTTGGAAATTTTGTAAATAGACAATAAAACCAAAGATGAGCAAAACATTTTAAAAATCATCTATGATATATGAAGTATGAAATGAATATTAATTAGCCTCTATCGTCCTCTTTTTCAATTTTACTAAATAACATGTTTATCTTCTTGTCACAATGGATAGTCTAAGGCTCCCATAACTTCATTCTTAATCTAGGATATGAGAAAGTCATGGGAAGTTGGTATGTTCTGAGTGAAACTAGAGGTTGTATTTAAGGAGAATCAGTAGGGGTGTCGAACTCAATCAGAGAAGGGGCCAAAATCTAAAATCCAGCCTAAATCGCGGGCCGAATGGTTTACTGAACAGTCATAAACTGTCATTGTGATGGAAACGCAGTGGAGTGCAGTGATGACAGCGTGGTGCAGGCCACATTGCAAGGCCTGGCGGGACGGATTTGGCCCTCGGGCCTTGTGTTTGACACATGTGGATTAAGGCATTACATGGGGACAGAGTGGGTTGATGTCGGGAAGGGAAATGGTTCTAATGCCAACTAGCTGGAGCCAAACAGATATCATCAGTGACATTTCTATTTCTGGTTGGCATGCCCAAGGCTAGATTAAACAACAGTCTATAAAGATGAATAAGACATGGGACCTGCCTTCATTAATAGTCCAGAGGGAAATAAATGCCAGGGTCAATGGCTGCATGATAAAAAGACTCAAACTTTTCACGGGAACATCAAATATAGTGCAATGGTGGCATCCACATTTTCACTAATGATTACATTATACCATTCAGGATGTCTTTAATCCTTACAAGTCTTAGGAAAAGGTACTGTTACTGTTGTCTCCTCTTTCACAGAAGAGGAAGACAACTTGCCCACTTCTGGTGAGTGACAGCATTTGGATTCATATTTGGGCAGGCTGGTTCTGGAGTCTATACTCTTAACCACTTTTTATACTGCTTCTCTTATGACTAATTATGTAACCAGCTCTTCCAGGTATAATGTGATGTTGTTCTTTAAATGAGAGCTGTATACAAAGAGAGAGAGAAAGAAAGGAAAAAAGAAAAAAAGAAAAAGGGGGGGGAGAGAGTGAAGGAGAAAGAAAGGGAGAGAGGGACAGAGGGAGAGAGGGAGAGAAGAAGAGGGGGGGGGAGAGGAAGAGGGAGAGGAGGGGGAGAGAGAGAGGGACAGAGAGATAGAGAGACAGAGAGAAACAGAGACAGAGACGGAGAGAGATTACCATGCCTGAGACCCAGGCAGACAGAATTCCATGAACAAGACGACACAGAAAAGTAAAGTTGTGAGATATTCTGAGAATCACAGAAGGTCCAGTTCAGTTTCAGAACCAAATCATGTAGTTCTTTTTGTGCCACTTTTGGAAGCTCTAAATTTGTTCTCAGATAGTAAAATCCACCAAATACTTTAAATCTAGCAGGTAGATGATTCCTAAGGTCATATTTTGCTTTTAAAAAATTACTGCAAAAGCAATGTGAAAATGGTTTGGAGAGTTATGGTAGAGACTGGTAAAAGTTTAGCACAGCTAGAGAATGATGAATGAATGAACTCAACAAGTAGCAAGGGGGATGGGATGAGTGTTGAAGCTATATTTCAAAGATATATCGAATAAGTTTTAATGACCAATTTGATCATAAAGAATTTTGGAGAAGAGAAAAAAATAGAGAACTGGAGTTATCAGTCTAAATGATTTTAGAGTGAATTAAAAAACAATTTGATATTTGTTTTTCATTTGCATTAGTTTGGTTTATATTATGAAGAGTTGATAAGGTAAATGACCTATTTGGGACATATAAAGATATCAACTACCTATACCTAATAAGTTGTTAGAAACACAGGTAATAAAGCTGTGTATCTGGTTATGAAATTGAAGACCAGACCTGGGAGTCTTCAGTTCCTAAAAGCAAGAGCAGTGGATGAGATCACCAGAGAGAAGATAGTGAAAAAAAGACTAAGCTATGATAAAGATGAGCGAAAGTAAGCAGAAAAGATGGAATAAGAAGATACTGAAAGATCAGTAAGAGTGGGGAGCAAAGAGGATCAGCAAAGGAAGGAGTTGCAGGATCTAAGAGAAAAATTTTAGGAAGCTATAAGTGGTTTAAAAAATATGCTAACTGAGGCAAGATTTCAAATAGAAGGCTAAAAAAGTTACAGTTGCAAATGGAAAATTCAGAGATCATTGAGGGCATCAGCAAGGGAAACTCCAGTAAAGTTTGAGACCAGACTTCAGAATTTAATGGGATTAATTAGAGAAGAATACAGGAAGACAGAATGTATAGAAGACTGAAGTTGTGTACCTGTGAAAAGAAGGGAGTGATATGAGTATATCTGTAGGCTGATAAGAATGTTCAATGTACATTGCACAGGAAGATATTGAAGGCAGGGATGGATTGATGGAATACATTCTGTATCAGAAGAGAGTACATGAAATCAATGGGTATCTTCAGCATTTAAAAAAAAATGTTTCATGAGGGAAATATTCATTATTGTAAGTATCTAATAGCCACTAACTGTTGAAATAGTTCAAAGAATCCAACATTATACTGTTAAGAGAAGACACAGATAAAGACATATCACATAGCAGGTGATCGAAGATGAAGAGGTATATATCAGTCTAAGGCAATAGGGCACAAAGATGGTACCTGCAGGAGAAGGGAGAAATGTTTCTTGTCTACTAGACAGTGGCACCACCCCGAGTTCACCTTTGGCTGCTCAGACTGGGAGCTGAAACTTCACTCTTTCCCCTTTCAGTTTGTAATAAATAAAGACAGTTCCAGAGAGAACATATAGCATCTAATATGGGCAGAGGCATTATGAGAATGGGTGACATGGGAGAGCCTCTTAAATACAATGGCGAGAAATGTTTGGTTTACCATTTTTGTTTAGAGATTTAAAAATAAAAGACAGATTTGAACATTTTTCTTCCATGCTGATTTCAGAGCTCAAAGACATCTTAGTAATTAGAGTAGAGAAAATGTGGATTACTTACCCATTTTGTATGGCAGCTGTGGGGTCATAGGTCAGAGCCATGCCAGCCTGCAGAGAAGAGGGAGAGGAGAGAAAACAGATCTTAACATTTTTATTGTGGTAGCCCAGACTTTCACTCCACACAAAGACTTTTATCTTTACTTTCCTTGATTTAAGTTTATTTTCTCGTACACATTTCTCCATTGACAAGACAAGCATTTTTATTATCCACACACCAGAATCCACTAGTGAGTTGGGGAGTTTATATTATGCATCCAGACAAACCAAGGCACAATGCAGCTTGAAGGATTTCCATTTGTACTTCATAAACCATTTGCTGTCTAATCTGGTATCCTTATAATTCCTCACTATTGTCAAAACCACCTATTGTACATCTCATGGCAAAAAAAAAAAAAAAAAAGTAAGGCTGAATCCTGAGGTCAGAACAAAAAATAAAAGCTCCTTAAAATGCATTAGACCTTTTAGCTGAAACCAGTTTGGCTCAGCGGTAGAGCATCGGTCTGGGGACTGAAGGGTCCCGGGTTCGATTCCGGTCAAGGGCATGTATAATACATTGGTTGCAGGCACATCCCCGGTAGGGGGTGTGCAAGAGGCAGCTGGTTGATGTTTCTCTCGTCGATGTTTCTAGCTCTCTCTCTCTCCCTTCCTCTCTGTAAAAAAAATCAATAAAATATATTTTTAAAAAATGCATTAGACCTTTTAGAAGAAAATGTTAAGAAATATTTATTTTAAAATAGATCTTATGCCTCAGGGGTATGTAAGTAATGAGCCATAGAGTGCTTGTCCAGTACCTGTCCTACTAAGAATGATAGAAAAGGAAAGTCATTTGCATCTGATGGAAATTCTTGGCCTGGTGGCTAATAAGGAAGTGGTTTTATTCTGTTTCTAAGAAGAAAACTACCTCTGGAAAACTACGCTTTGGCAACTGGCAATATTTTGAGAAAAGAATAGAAACTTTCATGATTGCTGATTCACAGCTTACCTCATCTCTTCCTACACATCATCACACTTGATCCTCACAAAATCCAGTAAGTAGGCAGGAGAATATTTTCTCCATTTTATTATATTTGAAAACGCTGGTGCAAACACAGAGAGATCCAAAGTCACTTGGAGAGGTCAAGTGACTTGCTCAAGGTCACATGTTTGACAACAGAACCTGATTCCAACCAAAGCCTTCAGATATGGGCTCTGCTGTAACCTTGACCTAGGAATTAAATGAGATCTGAGGATCATCTCTGAAGATGTGCAGCGGGAACTTTCTCTGTGGTCCTATGGGCAGACCACCCTTTGTTTCCCAGGACTGCATCACTTAGTGTGAGCAGAAAGAGGATATAGAATGAAATTTAAAACTTACTAGGTTGTTTTTTTTCCTCTTTTGAAATTTAAAAGTGAATTAGATCAATGTCAATTCCCTGGCTTTGTTAGTTACCTATAATTACCAAAGATATAACCATTGGGTGAAATGAGGTGAGGGGTAAACAAAACCTCCCTTTTCATTTCTTTTGTAATTTTTGTGAATCTATAACTGTAAATGATCTTTGAGAACTTTATTTATTTATTTATTTGTTTGTTTATTTATTTATTTTAGAGAATAAGAAAAATCATTAAAACTTTAAAGAAAAGAAGAAAGAGCTTTTGTTTTTGAGTTTCTTCCAGCTGGATGAAAGTGGTTTTCCTGTTAGGCTTGCTGAATTCCTCAGATTTAGCACATAACTGAAACATAAGTCCTCTGGCTTTCTAGGGTAGGACCTGAAATCTGGTATGACATGCTGCAGTCAAGCTTAGATTATAAGCATTATTTCCCCTAAATAATAATTTTTAAATTATTACTGAGATTGGTATGAGGAACAAACCTGTAGAGCCAAATACGAATTGGATTAGCATACAGCTAGCATGCATAAATTGAAACGGAGATTGCAAACAACATTGAATGAGTCAGGAGTTAATAGAGGAGCACTGAAAACACATGTTTAATGATAACTGTATCTTACTCAGGTTAAAGAAATATTAGATAGACAACGGATAATATGACAAGCAGGCGGGAATAGGAAATGAGATAAGAATAAAAGAGGAGAAACAAAGGTAGCCTTTTTTATTTTTTATTTTTTTTAATTTTTTTTTGCCTCTGGTGCAAACACATAGAGATCCAAAGTCTAAATTCTTTCCAGGGATGGGGCCTCTGCTTTGTGACCGGCAAGAGGAAGGTCCCCACTTGAAGATTTCCCAGAATGGAGAGGTCCAGGTGAGCTGAAACTCCTTGGTCCTGGATGCTATTGGGGACAGTAGTAAAAGCAGTCCATTTTTTATGAGACTTCTCTCTTAAAAGCACTAAGCTTCTTTCCCCTAACTTACCCAAGAGGTCACACCAGGGCCGAATGACAAAAATAGGCTTTATACTCAATAGAGATATTGTCAGTTCACAAGAAATTAAGAGTGATCAGCATAGCTTCAGTCTCCCAACCACACCAAATGGTTAAAATCCTAGGGGATTTATCAGAAGCTTTTATTTGTCAACCCCACATTTACTTCTTTTCCTTGCACTTATTTCCCAGGAGTGCTCAAATCCAATGTTATCTAGCCTTTCTTGAATTATAAAATTTCTTGAACATTCTCTTCCAATATGTATTTATTCTGGCAACTCTAGATATGTTTTATTTTCTTTCATATTTTAATTGAATTCCTCAAGGATTTTCATTAACCAATAAGGTCTACCTAGGAATGCAGTAATTATCAGTACATTCTAGTTGTTGAATACATATTTGACCATTAGAAAGGCTAAGTTGGCCTCTTCCTCCATCTTACAGCTCCATCCATCTTTCAGAAGATGGGCAAGAACTGAAAAATGGCACATGGTTCAGTGGAAAGAATATATGTTTTGGATCTGGATTTAGGTCTTTGCTCTGTTACTTTCTAGCAATGTAGCCTTGGGCAAATTATTTAACCTACTTGAGGTTCCTTTTCCTTAACTGTTAAGTGGTGGAGTAACACTTACCTTATCAGATTGTTGTGTGAAATTTAAATGAGATTATGTTTGTAAAAGACTCAGCTCAGAGCCTGGAGACAAGACATACACATAAATATTATAATACAAAGCTAGAAGTGGTAAGAGTCATATGAGTGGTACAGATGAGGTATGGGAGTGGGGGTATGATTAGGGATGATACTTGGAGTAGGTAAAGCTGAGTGGAGCCTTGAAAGATTATTAGGATTCCCACAAAATGGAGATGAGTGGTGGAGGCCTGATCAAGTAAAAGGAGTAGTATGGAAAACAGTGTGTAAATAAAAAGGGCAAGGTGAGTGACACACCTGCAGTAGAACCCTGGAGGGAGCAATGGGAAATAAGACTCCAAAGGAAAGGAGGGACCATCTTGATTGCCTGGCTCCTCTTGGGGAGCCACTGAACATTTTTGAGCAAGAAAATTACAAGTCAAAGAGGGACTGGACAACAAGAAACAGTATGAGCCTCCAGGAAAACTGGGTAAATCCGAAGCAATGAATGATGGGAATAGGCACTTGGGGACAGGGAAGTGGAAAGAATCTAAGGCGAGACTGTCATTGCAAAAGGATAGGGAATAAAAACATGGTTCATCTACTTCATGATTTTGCCTAGGGACAGTCCTGCCTCTCAGTACCTTTGGTAAGAGGAGACAACAAGAGATAGCATGAAGTCATATGCATTTGGAACATTTTGGGTAATAAATCAAGGCACAAGTTCAACAGAAGGTTGTTTGAACTTCATCTGTTGGCTGAACATCATAACACAACAGTGGACACTTGACCTGTTTTTTTTTTCATGTGTAATAGGTTGCTGAATTATAATTCTAGGATGGTCTGAATGCAGATTTTGCATTCAATTTCCTTTTGTTTCCTTCCATTAAGGTAAAAAAGAAAATCAATTTTGCTGCTCTGTCTAGCTACCTTTATACTAAACTAGAACCATGAAATCATCATTATGTAATTACCAAATTTTATGGCATGTTTACAAACTCTGGAGTCACACAAAAATAAAATAACTTGGAACAAAGTGAAAATGTCACACTACATATGCATAAAACTGATATTTAATCCTGTCAATCTTTTTTTTAAGGCTTTTAGATTAACAAATAACTTCCATTTCTCAAGTTCACATTTTTGTGTGCTAGAGAAGATTATAATTTATTTAAAACAAAAGGGCATTTTTCAGCAGCAGATGAATTTTGGCTTAGTATTTTGACCATAATAGAATATGTCTAGACCTACCTTATAGAGTCTATACTAAAGAGTTAAATATTTTGGAAAAAATATAAAAATATGGTTTATTGGAGAAATTAGGGCTTTGTAATACTTTTTAATATTATAGGAAATTCATTAAGATACATTAAATTGACTTTGGAGCTAAACATTTGTTATTTATGACTTTAAATAATTAACAGGTTAAATGAAGAGGTAAGAAATATAGAAATACAAAGCAGAGGATCATTGGCTTTAACAAAGGCAAGAAAAAAGGTAGGCTGGTAGAATTGTTTTGACCACTTTTCAAGTTATTTTTACACTGTAATGTGAACAGGGATAAAAAAAAAAAGTTTGAGCCAGTAAAGTTCAGACAGACAGATACACATTGAAATTCCTGGAAACTGAAACGTTAATGTTTTACTAGTAGCCTAACATTTCTCCTTTTTTCTAAATTTTGTCCTGTCATATGAGTCATCAAAATTGGATGAGTTACTGATGAATAAGCCCAAAAGTTTCCAATCTTCTGTGATCAGCTTTAAAGCAACACTTTAGTAAACATGTGGTGAATATTGTATATTTTAGTAAATACTGGGTAACAAATTACCATGAGATGAGTTCAAGAATGCAAAGAAGAAATTTTCTTGATGTCATTTCTTGTAACCATTTGAGCAATATTTACAACTGTTGGTTGGTAATGGTTAAATCACTAAATAAGATGACTTAAAAGGGAGTGTGTGTAAAGGGGCTTGAAAATGTGTTATACATGTTTAGGTACTGCTTCTATAGCAAAGTCTCACTTGGCTTATATTTATCAGTATTTCTCTGTAGAAAACATACCTTTTAGTGTTGAAGTCACCATACAAAATTATGTATACATATGTGTTAACAAATAAAATTTTAAAAATTGAAATATGACTAGAAATAAAAGATTAATTTCAACAGGGGTAAATGTGAAAGTGCTGAGGCATAAGAATATAAATGAGAGTTTTTTCTTTCATATATATATTTTTTTCTGACTCTTTTAAGTTGTATATAAGAAGAATTACTTTTATAACGGCGAAAAAAACTCCTTTTCTTATAAAACAATAGCAACACATTATATACTTTACAACTTGTTTAAAATTTAAATTTTAGGAAGGGGAAAAAAAGGCATGTCATTTATAAAAAAGAACTATTGAACAGAGGCCAAATTCAGAAATATGCTTGCAGATGTCAGAAGATGTTTAGTTTTGCTGGGTCAATGAAATACAGAAGACTGGGGAGGGCGGGGTTACTACAATATATCCAGAAGGATCAAGGTAAGAATGGGCAGGAGGCCAAGAATAAAGACCGAAACTTCAGGGTTCATAGTACAGTATTTCTTTTCTAGTAGAGCTAGAATTCATAAATCCAAATAGCCATACTGGCTGAGAAATGGAGAATTTCCTATGTGACAACAGAAGTGTGGGTACCCAAGATATTCATTAACCAATAAATATCACCAGAAAACCACAACATGATTGATACCAAGTAAATCTTTTGTCCAAAAGAAAAGTGCTTTTATCCTACTTCCTGTTAAGAGAACTAACCCTAGGAAACAATACACAAGGAGCCAAGCTGAGGAGAGGCTACTGGAGCCCTTACTGAAAGGGGAAGTGAGAGAATGAAATCCTGGCCTTCTAATGAAGCAAATGGTAGGGTTTTACCCGGGAATGGTTCTGCCATGGCCAGGTGACTACTGAATGCTTTCTTTCTCTGGGCAGGGGGCAGTCAACCAAGTGAAGCAGGTGTCTGCTCTCGCCTGCAGAAAGAACATTCCCTGGGCAATGTGTAGCCACTGCCTCTCTGAAGAGAAGATGAGGGACAAATGAGGCAGTAAGCAAAGAAATTGCCAAAGTCTACAAAAGGCAGACTACACTGGATGGCCCTGAGATAAGACAGCAACGTCCTAGCTCTGTGGTTCACAAACTGCGGTTCGTAAACCACATGCGGCTCGTTGCCCCTTGAGTGTGGCTCTTCCACAAAATGCCACTGCCTGGGAGAGTCTATTTTGAAGAAGTGGCATTAGAAGAAGTTTAAGTTTAAAAAATTTGGCTCTCCAAAGAAATTTCAATCATTGTACTGTTGATATTTGGCCCTGTTGACTAATGAGTTTGCCGACCACTATCCTAGCAATTGTCCGTTACGGAAGATATTAGACAAAGATCTTATATGCATGTATGCATTACCTCTAGACACAGACAAGAGGGTGATGAGGGCCTGGGAGTGGGGTGGGAACCGGGTGGAGGGGAGCTATGGGGGAGATAAAAAGGGACATCTGTAATAATCTCAACAATAAAGATTTAATGAAAAAGACAATACCCATTGACCTGTGAAATGGCTCTCACTACACTCCTTAGCTTTCATAATATATGAATTCAAGGAATAGTTTCATTCCAAATTATACTTGATTCATTTGCATAAATTTGCATAATTTAATCTGTGATAGTTTTCTTTTAAAATTCCTTTCCTTTGGCTTCTGTGAGCTCATCCCCTAGTTTTCTTCTGACCGCTCAGAGAGCAGTTTCTGCTTTGGTGTTATGTGTTCTATCTGCCTTTTAGATGCCAGCACTCAGGGCCAGGGTTCACCTTTCTTCTCTCTTCTCTACAGTGATGACATTCACCTTCTGATTCCAACTATTATTTATGTCTGGGTGATTCTTGAATCTTGATCTCAAACTCAAGTATCTATCCTGAATTCCAGACATTTATTGCCAAGTTAGATTAAGTAAGTTTGAAGTATGGTCAACATCTCTTATGAAGTTATCTGTTGTTTGGGTGTTTACTAATATCCTTTGGTCATAACAGTTGTCTCCTCCTTTTGCTTGCAATCTTTTTCTAATCCATTAGCCACACCATTGTGCTTGAGGACTGCTCTTAAGAGAGGCAAATCTGACCACATGATGATTCTTCTTTTAGTGACATACTGTTATTTTCTAAATAAAACATGCCTCACAGAGCCCTTCATGATCAAGTCTTTATTCACTGACTGACGTCCATAATGATGCCATGCAATTTTACCAGGAGACCCCGTTCTTTGCCAAACTCAGACATACACTCACCCTGCCCTGAGCCTCCGGGGCTTTTGCTGCTGTAAATTTTTGGATGGAAACTTTGCATCACTGTCTGTGGGGAAATTGAAAAGTTTAGTCTTTCACTCTCAAACTAGACATCCCAGACTCTCAAAGCCATCTCTGTCTCTCATTGTAACATTAACTGCTACCTTTGTTCTGACCCCTCAATTGAAGATGAGAGCTAATATGACATACACATTGTCATATATGTTTCAACTAGATTCTTGCCTGTGTTCATAAGTGTTTGGAACATAATGGGGACTCAATAAATGTTTATTAAATAAGTTAATGAACACCTAATTGACTTAAAGACTATTTTGAATTTGGACTTCAGTTAAATTTGTATTTGCAAAAGGAATTTGAGTGTTTTTAACTTTTCCTTATTTTATTAGTAAACTGTATTCTTCAAAACTTCCACTGAACTCAATTATACTTCTAAAGAAAATATTTCAGCCTTTGATTGGTCAGTAGAGATAGAGGGAAACAAGATGAGTGTTGGAGTTGCTCAGAGCCCTTTTCCATGCAGCAGAGAAGCCAGTGTACCTGAGATGGATAATGAGTAGGAACCTAGGAGAAGGAGGCCCCTCTTTCCAAGTCACTGACCAAGAGTGGGGAGAAGAGAACTGTTAATTAAACATAACCTCAACATCTTCAAGCAAATGAGATGCAAAAAATTTATCACTTTAAAAAAATAGCAAAATAATAATAATAATAATAATAATAATAATAATAATAAGACAATAAACAGAAAACTTCACCTCTTTGTCTGGGAAAGAAAAACACCAAGGGGAGTAATGCTGTTGTTTATACACTATGCCACCATGGAAGTTCTCCTTCTGGCATTTACTAAAAGCATTCTTGTCAGAGAACTTCTCTCTTATATAGCAACAGAGAAGAAAACGTTAGAAAGATACAGAATGAAGACTGGACAGCTGAGAAAGCCTATGGCTGCACAGAAGCAGCATTGTTAAAAAGGGAGCAGAAGAAAAAGCATACGAGCATTGCATGATGTAGCTTGCTAAGGTTCTCAAAGTCTTGAAGGAAAAAGAAGTCCTACTTTGTCATTAAAACTGAAATTAAATTAAGCCTTGATTGATACCATAAAAGAGAACATTATATTTTATGTATGAACTTCTGCTTTGTTCTTAGTCTAAATAACTAAAACTCATCGATACTAAGATGTCGCTTTTATTTCACATATCTGTGAAATTGGTACTGACCTAATTGATGGCATTTGATAGTTTGGCAATTGTCTCCTCTTTTTTTAGTGACATTTAAAATAATATTCCATCTTTAATTGATGGTGTCTTGGAACCAATAATAGGATG